AAAAAAGGAGAGTCAATTAGTTTTTAATACAATTATAGGAGTGGAGGACTCCAAAGACTGAACGTAGGTTAAGGTTGATCGAACCAATAAAAATCATAGGTATGTTCATTCTTTGTTCTTTGCTTTTATTTTTTTGTACTTTATTTATTGCATTTTACTTATTGCTAAATATATGTTTTGTGAGCTTTATTTTGTAATAGAAGTATATTTTGATTTTGCTCCAAAAGAAAACAACAAAAAAAAAAATTAAAAATACAAAACGAAAAAAAATTTTTGTTTGCTAGTTTCTCATATAAAAATAAAAATAAACTTTTTATGAGATTGGTATTGTCATATTATTTTAAAACACCAATTCACGCCTGCACCCCCCCCCCCCCCCCCTAATCATGAAATAAAACATTAAATAAAATTAAAAGGACTATATGCAATCATTTCATCATATATAGAGCAATTATGAACATTATGATTTGATGATTATAATCAAATACGTCCATTAGGGTTATTAATTATCAAGATTATTTATAACTTAAAATTAAATAATTTCAAGATTCAAAATAAAAAATCATATTAATAAATGAATAAAATAATAAATCTTAAATTAAAATTAAAACATCCTTTGGCTTATAATAAACAAATAAACTTAAATCTAAACAACTTAAATATAAAATCTTTTCAGGCATATCAAAGCTGCATAGGGGTACACACACTTTAAATGGTTAGCTAAGACAACCAATTTTAGCCTAGGTTAGGTTAGTTATTTGTTATGATTTGTTGTGATTTGAAGGGTATTTTTATTTTATTTGTTTACTTTATGTACTTCGGATGTCATATATGATTACTTTTCTTGTTGGTGCGCCTTACTTTTACTAGATTACATACACCTGCATTGCACTCATTCATATTTAGAGGCTATTTTTTTCTTTACTACCAAAGTCAAAGTAGAATATATCTAGACTCAAATGTAAATGTAAAGTTGTAGATTCTTATAGTAGAAATTGAGTTGTAAAAATGTAAAGAGCTGTAAAAGATTAAAAATTGTTACTTATATGCACTTGTAGATTATAAAAGGAAATAATTCTTCTTCCTTTGAAAATCATTCATTTTTTAAAATTCTGTAGAAAATCCTGGAGCGAGAAGATTTGAAGACTAAAGTAAGCAATCATATTTATATATTATGTGGGAATAAAAATCCAAGTCTTTTATGATGGAGCATGAACACCTTTTCTTTGACAATAGACTTTAGTTTGCACTTTAGTTTCTATTATAAATAAATGACTAAAACTTTTTATTTATGCATTGCTTTATAAAACATACATCATATATTGTGCTAGTTAGGTGTATTTGCATATTAAAGTGTTCTGATTAAATTATGAACCAAAAATTTGATTCAAATTAAATAAAGAGCTTTCTATCATGCATTTATAAGACATTGAATTGAGTTTAGGTTGTTAGCTAACGGTTCACTCCAAGCAGACATTAGTTGAATTTATAGAATGGACATTTAGTCATTTCTAAATCAATAGTAAAATATTAGATTATCTTTCGAGATAGTATAATATTAGCTATGCATATTTAATTAAAAAAATATAAAATAAATCAGTGGCTACAATTTATTTTTCTACAAATGCAATTGAAATCAATCATATAAACATTATTAATCTACGATCCTAAAACATAGATTTTCTAGTCAATGATTGATAAACATTTATCAGAATAGAAGTTAATTTCAAATCCTTTATCACATAACTAAGTAATGCTTATTAAATTGTGCTTAAATCCTTCTACTTGCAAGTTGCTCCCAATTATGAAACCATTTGCTTTCCTACAGTACTTGTACATACCACTTTTTTTTGTGATGTTGCCTCTAAGTATCACTCTTCTTCTAGTTTTGGACTCCAACGTAATGAATTAACTAATGTCTCTATTCATGGTTCTTGATCACCTGCTATTTAGATACACATGCCTTTTAGACCCTTGTGAAGGCATACCTAATGAGGCCTTAAGTCTCCATATGTATTGAATACTAAGGTGAACTGTATGTGGACAAATTCATGCTTTGTGTCCTACCATGCTACAAAAAAAAAAAAAAAACATATAATTCCTAAAAATGAATGAGCCAGTCTATGTGATGACAAAATTTTCCTCTTATGAGAAAATGATGTATGCAATGCGCTAATAATTTTTTATGATTACGTGTAGACCTAGATGCCATAGATTTGAGTTATATGATATCTTTTCTTAAATGATCATTGCAATTGTAACTATTCTAAGTTTCACATGCACTTAATGGACACTATCTTACAGATGCACACATTCTTCTTCTTCTAGTATCTTGTATGCAATATCTAATTAAATATGCATGCCTATTTTCTCCTTCAAATAATTTTTTTAGACTCCTTGACTAAACTAGAATACTCATCTACTAATGCAGTATGTTCGCTTTCCAAGATAAAAAAAAACTAAATTTGAGTACTCCTCTTACAATGCAATGCACTCCTTTCCAAAATGTGTAAATTTTTCTTTTAATTTAGTATATTTGTCATTAAGAATAGATTGATGATTTCCTCCTCAACTTTAGTTTCAAATGAGTTTGAATCAGAGTTGGCCCAGAATACTTTGTGAGGCCTCTTTTTTATTTTCTTTTGTTATTCTCTCTCCTCAACTTTCTCATTAGGTGGTTGGCCTTTATGTTTGGATAGTCTCATTTTATATGTCGAAGTTTCCTGCATTCAAAATATATTATTTCAGTGGAAGCTTTACTTATTTTCTTATTCTTACCACTTCACTTATTACTATACTTCTTATGCTTGCTTCTAAAGAATCATTTGAACTACCTTGTCATGAAAGCAATATTATTATTTCACCACCTTCTGAGTTATTGCTATCAAAATCATAAGCTTTTAAGGCAATAACGTTTTCCTTCTTATTTTCCTCACTACCTATATTTCTTTAACTAATTTTTTTCTCGTAATCTATATGTGAGCTAAGCAGGTTATCAATAAAATAAGAATTTAAATTTTTAGGTTAAAAAATTGCTTTCACCTTGGCATCCTAAGATTTAGGTAAACACCTTAGTATTCTATTTAACTTTTTAGCATTTGATATTTCACTACCTAAAGCATGTAATAATGTGATAATTTTTGTAGATCTAATGTACATATAAAAAATACTCTCATTTGGTTGAATATGAAATAATCATAGACATGCAACACAATGTTCATTTGTGATTGTTTAATTTTAGATATATCTTCATAAGTAATTCACAATTTATCACATATTTATTTAATAATCATACAAGAGGATACATACATGTAGTCTTCTAATTTTAATGCATATAAAAATAGTTTAAGCATTTTGCATTTATTTATGCTAACTCCATATCTTCTACATTCCAATCCATAAAGGGGAGTTCAACTTTCATGCAATTCACTATTTTATGAGGAGATGTATATCCTACTTGAATGAAGTTCCACATTCTATAATAAATGGAATTAATAAATGTTTCCATACTATTTTTTTAAAAAATAAAACGGAATAATATTGAAAAACGGTCGTCATGTTCTGATTCTCAAATTGTGCTATGACAGGATCAACTTATGGTGTTAAGAACAATCGGCTAAGTAACCATTTTAATACCAATTGAAAATAACGAAGGCACACATGAGGAGGCATTTGCATTAGTGCCTTTTTAAAACATTAATAATATCATTAGAAGTATTTAGAATTTAAAGAACTAATAAAAAATAATTTCCTTTATTTTCAAAAATAATTTGTCACAATAGAGTATAAGAAAAAAAAATAAAATTTTCCTTTTTATTTTTACAAAAAACAAATTACAATAATTTTCAATATTTATTTTTATTGTAAGATCAACACAAATTCAACCAAAGCTAAGCAAGTAATGAATTGTGCCAAGTTAAAATTAAAGAAGCAAAAATAAAAAAAGAAAACACAAATTGGATTTTTATAGTAGTTTTGTTAACTTGACCAATGTCCACTCTATGGGAATTCCACTATCACACTCCTACTCCCACCAAGATGGAGAAGCCCTTCTTCTTGACATGATAATAGATAACACCTTCTACACATCTTTATCGAGAAGCCTCCCTTAATCTACATCCAACACGATGGAGATACCTAGACTCCTTGGTTAGACTAAGGGTCTCCCATACAAAGATTCACCAAAGCTCTTTCTCTAAAGAGCTCTCATACACAACAATATAAGAAAAAAGGAATATATTAGGAAGAACAACCTTGTGCACATCTCATACAAAGATCTCTTGGATACCCTTGCAAGAAACATCTCATGTTCTCTCTCTCTCTCTCTCTCTCTCTCTCTCTCTCTCTCAAATAATTGCATGAAGGGCTCCCTCTCTCTCTCTATCTAAAACTTTTTGAAGAATATTTGCTCTCTCTTGGCTTCTCAAATAAGTTAAATTTTTATACCATGATTTCAAATGAAACCCTAAAAAACTAGTTATACTATCTTATAATAAGGATGGTGGTTATCATGGCTTTGGCAGAATAGTTTTTGCAAGTGGACAATGATGATTGATTTTTATTTATCTCATTGTTTATCTCATTGCTCAAATAATTAGCGCACTTGGTCCCTGCCATTTCTTGAATTCTCATGTGAGATTTTTGTTTGCTGATTAAGTCCAATTATGTTTACCACAATTTTAAGTTAATGTGATATCATATTTTTTTGAGAGCTCTGGTGTGTTTTTTTCCTTCCATTTTATCAAAATATATCACTTTTAATTCTTTTGATCATTTCAATTTTTTGATGCAGCTCTTACTTAGTGTTCACATAATTTGAATTATATCCGGGCTTATTACATTGCAAAATAAATAAGAATCAGGCTAATAACATAATACTTTGTAAACTTTTTATAATTAGATATCTCCATACCCAAGGCATGCAAAGAAGTGAATATCTTAGTGAACCTAATATATATATATATACAGCTCCATCGATGCGGTGTAACTTCTCGCACTAGATGAGCACGAAACTCGTCAGGACTCGAATCTAGATGTGCTGCCCAGGGTTGGCTGGTCGATGGATACCCGTTTGTTCGCCGACGAATCATCACCGCCTGCCGATGCCGCCGCCTCCGCCGCCGCCGCCGCCGCAGCCCGTTACGCCGACAACATGAAGGGCCTGCTACTCGCTGTTCTCTCCAGCGCTTTCGTTGGAGCTAGCTTCATCGTCAAGAAAAAAGGCCTCAGGCGCGCTGGCAGCTCTGGTTCCAGCGCAGGTGAGTGTTTTGCCGCTAAGCCTAACCCTAAACATGCATTACTAGGCACAGGGAAAGTTGGATCCTTTCTCTTTGATCTCTTATAGGGTCCGGTGGGTACCGGTATCTTCTGGAGCCACTTTGGTGGGTTGGGATGGTGACGAGTAAGTATTCCCTTATAAAAATGATCCATGATTTTGATCTATTTTGCAAAGGAAACCTTAGTGGTTTTAAGTCTTGCAGTGCTTGTTGGTGAAATTGCGAACTTTGTCGCTTATATATTCGCCCCTGCGATTCTTGTGACCCCCCTTGGAGCTTTGAGCATTATCGTGAGGTATGAAGCAAGGGTGGCTAAAAATTGCCATAACAACTGGGGGAATAATTTTTTTTTTCTCGTTTTCTTATTCTATTTTGTATTATTCTTGTTTTCATGGTGGAGTAGTGCTGTCCTTGCGCACTTCATCCTGAAGGAGAGGCTGCAGAGGATGGGGGTTTTGGGCTGTGTGCTATGCATCGTTGGTTCTACTGTTATTGTACTTCATGCACCAGAAGAGAGGAATCCAAGCTCGGTGGAGCAGATATGGTATTTGGCGACCCAACCAGGTTTCTTTCTATTGGTGAATTTTTATGAGTTTTCCATGCCGTCTGGTTTCTTATTTGAGATGCCATATAGACTCATAAACATATGCTTTTCAGCTTTTCTTTTGTATGCGGCGTCAGCGGTTGCCGTCTCACTAGTATTGATGTTGCATTGTTCACCACGGTACGGGCAAACAAACATAATGGTCTATTTGGGTATATGCTCAGCTATTGGATCTTTGACGGTAATACTTTATATCTTTCCGATGAATAAATAATCTTAGCAAAGGGAAGTTTCTTTACGTACTGAATGTTTTTTAACTTTCTCCCGTTAATTTTACTAGGTTATGAGTATTAAGGCTGTTGGTATTGCAATTACGCTTACTTTTGAGGGAATCAATCAGGCAATCTACTTTCAGACTTGGGTATTTGCTATGGTTGCCATTACATGCATCATAATTCAGTTGAACTATTTAAATAAGGTAAATGTTCTAGAGGCTATTTATGTGTTAATTCCTTGTTTCTAAACGATCGGTTGCTTTTACACTCATTCAAATAACTCCTAAACATTTCAAATATATTGCATTCCTTTTGCACTGGATTCTTTTTACTATGCATTCTTTTTTTAATAAATCAAACATCCCCGAGGTTATTTTGCAGAAGTGAAATGTTTTCATTTATGCAAAATGGTACCTGATTTTTTTTATATGTTAGTTTTCTTTCTTCGTAAATCATGATATTTTGAGAGCATCATTATTACCGAGAGATTGTACTTACATACTTTTTTTCCCACTATTATAAGTCTGGCTTTAGGCTTTTTACATGGCACTCCATATGAGTACCTTATAAAGAGAATCACTGCATCCTAATGATATGAAAGCTGAAAACCAAGATGCTTATATGCTGTACTTATGAAGGCATAGATTCCTTGAAATTCTGTTTGGCTTTTTAATGATTATGAAGCTACATGCAGTGTATAAGATATCTAAGCCACATAACTAATTATTGCGGGTGAAGGATGGCTAAGAGCAATGACATTCTTTTCTTGGTTTCTATTTGTTAGATAGTAGGCGCGGCAGGGTGACCTAATGGTTCAGCTATGAGAGGACTTTTTTGCATGTTCTTTTATTTATGTTGCTTTTTCATTAAATTTTCACATTTATGGATGGGAACACAACATGCTGGACCAACTACTCGAGAATTCTGATGAGTAATATTCATTTTCTTTATATTAGCATCAGTGAATTTTAAGTCCTCATGCTGCGAACTTGATTATTTTCTCACTAGTCTAGTGGTTGATGAAGAGACTAGTACTTTTTACTCAACTTTAAGTGCGCACTCAAGGATTGATAAGCAAATAGTGGGGAGGGGAAGAGAGGGGGGAGTGATGATGGAGATGATTCAAGTACAAGACATGAATATAATCTTATCTAATAATTCCATTATAAGCATAAAATTATCGAAAATGATAATTTCTCCTGATTGCAAATAAAATTTATCTAAAAATCCTAATAATATGAAATAAATCCTAAAATATTAAAAATTAATTATATATATATATATATATATATATATATTTGTTTTCATCCTATTTATAGATAATAGAAATATATTTAAATTCATAAAAGAAACTAATCCTATCTAGCTTGCCTCAAATGCTAACAGAGAATGCAGATTTAAACTTAAGATTATCTAATAAATTGAAATAAATTATAAATAGTACCCTGAAAGCTTTTCTTTTCTAATACTTTTATTGTAAACATAAAATTATCCAAAAGGATAGTTTATCCAATTTTAGATAAAATGAATGTATAAATCCTAAAATATTAAAAAAAAATAATAATTTTTTTTTGTGTTGCATTCTACTTCTATAAAATTGAAATATGTTTAAATTCAAAAAATAAACTAATCCTATCTAGTTTGACTTAAGTTCGAACAAAGAATTCAAATTCAAACCTAAGATTATCCAAAATGATAATTAATCATGAACTCAAATAAAATAATTAAAAAAATCAAAATAAATTTTAAAATATTATAAAATAACATATTCTTAATTTATTGCATTGCGTCATAAAAGTTCAGTTTGGGTTATTAGGTTGTCTTGAACTAAAAATGCACACCAGGAGGGGGGGGGGGGGGGGGGGGTGAATTGGTGTTTAGAAATTCCTTTTAAGAAATTATTCTTTTGAATTTTTTTTATTTAGCAATAATTTGACAACACGAATCTAAACAAAATTTTGTTTTGATTTTAAACAACACTTGGAAAGAAGAAAATATTTTTTTTTTGGTTTTTTATTTAAAGACAAGATATTCCATTTATGCAAAATGAAGAACTCAGATCACATATTTGCAATAAATAAAATGCAATTAAGTAAGCATGCAGAAAAGTAAAGGTAAACACAAGAACAAGTACCTCAAAAATTTATAGTAGTTTGGTCAACCTTAACCTACTTCCACTCACCAGAGTCCTCCACTCCGAGTATTGCACTAATACTAGTTACTCTCCTTTGTCTTTACACCAAGGCGGAGAAGCCCTTACAAATCACTTCCACCTCCTCAGTGCGTGAAGTAGCTGAATCTCTTTCACCTTCTCGGTGCGGCGGAGCAGCCGGATCCTTCCCACGAAGAGACGCTTCCCGAAATTTCCCTCAAGAAAAAACACTGACCTTGGAAGAAGAACAATATCACTGAGTTACCATGTGTAGAAATCCCTCTCACACACTCTCTTGTCCCACAAGTATCTTCTCCCTCAAGACCTCATATCTCTTTCTCCAAAGTAATTCTCCCTCTTCAAACCCTTCTCACATAAGCTCTTTCTAAAAAAAGTAGCAAAATAATCCCTAAGATGAATTAGGGACGAGTTTTAAACAAAATGCTCAAATTAACCCTAAAATTTAAGTTAGCTATTTCTGTTTGTACAGTACAATTGGGGATCGTACAATACAATTAGTTCCAAAACCTATATTCATCCAGCACGACTAAACAATCTTAGTACGATCTATTCAAATATAATATACTGATCATACAATATAGAACTTACATCATACGATACGATTTGTTCATTCTTCTTTAGATCGTACAAAATGACCGTCGGGACGATTAAACATCGTCTCTGCCAATCGTTAACTATGATCAACATCATATTGTACGATCTACCATATTAATTAAACCTTGATTTGATTGACTAATCAAGGAGATTAATTTAGGTAATATTTTAAATATCGTACAGTACGATTAGTTCAAATTAAAATACTTACCTAAATCTGATTGATGGCTAGGGTTTTGATTTAAATTGATTGTCCTGTCGATGTGGTTCATATAATATGATTAGTTCAAAAATATTAATTACTTAATTAGCCATTTTAATTGATTTTTGATCAATATATTGTACAATGCGATGGGGCTCGTACAGTATGATGTGCATAAATTTAGAAATTTTAGTTTTCACTCTCCTGTGTGTGTATGCACGGTCACTAAGCTGACAAACACTATTTACAGAACTTTTGGCTCAAGAAATATAGAATAAATAAATGAAAGTTCAGACTTTTGCAAAAAGCATCAAACCTATTCTGCCCCGTTTTGAGTCTTTATCCTTTGTGCCACAGTGTATGCTGTACCTAAAATGTTAGTGTGCATAAGAGTAGATATCCAATACAGTTACTAGAAGAAATAAAAATACAATAAATAATATTTGTTATCATCAAACTTACAAGCTCGGGATCTCGGATTGTAACACGTTAATTCTCTGAGCCTTACAAACTCTTTCCTGAAGAGATATAAAAACCCTTTTCTTGGAAGTCTGTTGGCAATGGTGAAGGCGGTGGAGAAAATTCTTTATGATCATCTTTTTAGTATTCAATATATACAAACTTGACATATATGTAGAATTTGGAGAATTTGGATATGGGAATCTCAATGCATCTTACATCTTCCTCAAATAATTCAATAAAAGATCACATCATGTTAGTAACCATGCTAACATGAACTTAACAATCTGATGGTAGTTAATGTATCTCCATCCATAAGGATTAGGTAATGACTAGAGGCTCCCCAAACGCAAGTGCAATAGTCCTCTAGCAAAATCTCTTATTCAAGTGCTAGCTTATAATCATCGTGGTCATAATCATGTTCAGATTTAATCACTTCATCCACAGGCTCGAGCATTCAAGGAAGAGAAGGTAGTGGTATTTTTGGAGTATGAGAAACTAAATAGAATGAATTGAGATTTGAAATATCCTTTTTAATTTCTTGTTGAACTAATGTATACTACTTCCTATTGCACTCTCATAACTTTCATCGTGAATACAAGATTGTTTATAATGTGGTGGAACATGAATTTTGATGATTTGTAAGATGATCCTTTACATAAGATCTATAGAAACAATTGTAATATTCCTTACCAAATTCATCTACAACTCTGTCTCAATATTTTTTGTAGTTATCCTTAGCCAAGTCTAAATCATGTCTAAAATAATTGCCCCTGTATATTTATGGTTTGATGAATCATACCAATAAAATAATAACATCGATTCCAGAGTGAAAATTATAAATTTTGTAAACTTTTACCGGGGAGAATTTTTTGTTTATAATCATCTTCAACATACCAGATAATGCATCTTAAACTCATTAATTTACTTGGTTCATTTGTCGTTATGATATGAGGCAACATTGATCTTGATCTAGATAAGTAGTTAAGGCTTTGGTTGCAAATGTAGATTGAATAACAACAATAACATTAACAACATCAAGTCTTTGTCCCACTACATGGGGTTGGCTACATTAATCATTTTTCTCCATTGTATCATGTTAAATGTCAAAATCTCATTTAAATTTAATAAATGAAGGTTATTTCTAATATTTTCTAGCCAAGACTTTTTAGGTCTACCTCTACCTTTTTCTAACATAGGCCAAATCCAATTCATCTAGTCTCCTAACCGGATCATGGAAGGATGACGTTTTATATGTCCAAATCATCTAAAGTGACTCTCTTTAATCTTATCTGCCATTGGAGCTATTCCAACCTTTTCACGTATATACTTGTTTCACATTTGGTCTCTAAGAGTGAAACTACTCATGAACTTGAGCATCCTCATCTCAACAACACTTAATTTTATGCTTGAGGTTGTTATTGGATATGGATGAAAATGTGAATGATTGGAGGTGATTGAGTTATTTGTAGTGGAGGAGAGGTTGGTTGGAATGGTCATGGTGATTGCGTGGTTCATGTGAAGAAATTTGGATTGGAGTTGGGTTTGGTGCAGGAATAACAATTGTGATTGACTTGTAAATAGTTGCAAGTGTTACCAAGTCATTGCAAAGTAGAAATTTCTTAAATCTTAAAAACCATAGCTTATGACAAAGTTATGAGAGGATGCTATGATGGGAGATTGGATGGGTGCAATAATTGGGCTACATCATGGGGCAGTCATGCATGGATGCATGGTAACTTATGAAAGTGCCATGAACGAAAAATCACACAATCTAGATAGTTTGTTCTAATACCAATTAATGTTAGAGTAAGCACAATAAACAAGAAGGAAGAGATAAATTGGAGTGCATCAATAAAGAGGGAAGAAAAGGGAGATGATACAACAATAATATCAAGCCTTTATCCCACTACGTGGGATTGGCTACATGAATCCTAATACTCGTTTCACATTCTATCTCTAAGAGTTAAGCCACTCATCCACCTGAGCATCCTCATCTCTACAATACTTAACTTGATTTTATGCTTCTCTTTTAATGACCGACATTCTGCACTATAAAGCATTGTAGGTCTCACCACCCTCTTATAGAATTTTCCTTTTAAGTTTGAGAGGTACTTTTTTGTCACACAATATGCCTGATGCATTCTTCCACTTCAGCCATCCAACTTGAATTCTACTAATAATATCCCCATCTATTTCACCATCAATTTGAACAATAAACTCAAGATATTTAAAATGTATACTCTTATTAATGACTTGATCGCCTAAAGTCATAATCCCCCCACTATCTATTACTACTAAAATTACACTCTATGTATTAAGCTTTAGATCCACTCAAACGAAAATGTTTAGACTCTAAGGTTGACCTCCATAATTCAACTTTTCCGTCAACTCCTCTCTAGTCTTATCAACAAGAAAATTATTATTACCAAAAATCATATACGATACCACATCCTCTTGTAAATGTCTAGTAAGAACATCCATGACTAAAGCAAAATAATATGGGCTTAAAGTTGATCCTTGATGTAATTCAACTGAAATAGGAAAATACTTAGTCGAACCCCCTTGTGTTCGAACACAAGTAACAACTCTTGCGTAAATATCCTTAATGTCTTGAATATAAGTATTATTAACTCTTTACTTTTCTAGAACTCTCCAGAGCACTTCTTTTGGAACTTTATCATTTGGTTTTTTCTAAATTATTAAATATCATATATAAATCCTGTTAATTCTCTCTATATTTTTCCATTAAACATCTTAATAAATGTATAACTTCCATTGTAAACCTTCCCGGCATGAATCCAAATTTATTTTAAGAAACATTAGTATCACGTCATAATATATGCTTAATAACTCTCTCCCATAGTTTTAATATATGACACATTAACTTAACTTTTCTATAATTCACACACTTTTGTGCATCACCTTTATTCTTAAAAAATGAATCAACACACTTCTCCACTCATTTGGCATCTTTTTAGTCCTCAAAATAATATTGAAGAGTTTTGTAAGCCAAGAAATTTCATCTCTAAGCATTTCCACACCTTTATTAAACTATAATCAAGTCCAATAACTTTTCCTCACTTCATTTTTTTAAAATCTCTCTAACTTTGATTTTACTAATACGACAAAAAAAAATCTCTATTTTCATTTAGGGTTTGAAGGACACTAAAGTCAATCGTATTCTCACAATCTTCATTAAAAAATTTATCAAAAGATCTCATTCACCTTTGTTGAATGTCCTCTTATAATAAAAACACTTGCTGGTCTTCATCTTTAATGTACTTCATTTGAACTAAATCCTTACTTCTTATACGTCTTAGTTTGGCTAACTTATACATACATCTTTCGCCCTTCTTAGTATATAATATATTATATAAATTATTAAAAACTAAATTCCTTGCATCACATATTGCTTTCTTAGATTACTTATGGACCCCGTTATATCTTTCCTAATTTTCAAGCTATTATATTCAAATCATTTTTATAGCAAATTTTTTATTTTTGATATTTTCTTGCATATTTGGACTCCAACGCAACTATTTTTACTATTAAGGACTTTTTTTTATACTCCAAGCACATTCTTTGCAATATTTTTAATATCACTATTTATTTTTTTCCTCATTACATTAGCTTCTTCATGCATAGTTAAAATATTAAGATCTTGAATGTTATTTTCAAAATATTTTTGTTGATGTTCTTTAAATGCCCTTATCCTAGGACAACATTTTACTTTATTTTTCATATTCTACCTATTCATTTTAAATTCAAAACTAATAAGCGATGCTTGTTACATAATCTTTCAATTGGAATAACTTTATAATCTTTGCAATCTAAACGTTCTATTTTTTATAAGAAAATAATTAATCTGAGTTCTACTATATCCATTCTTATAAGTGATGAGATGCTCATCTCTTTTCTCAAATAAAGTTCTACCAATTATAAAATCAAAAGCTAAAACAAAATCTATTATGATCCTATCAA